ACTCACTCCGCTGTGGCCACCTCAAGAATCAACTGACGCACTCCGCGTGAGATGCGTCTGTGTTACTCAACCACCTAACCAGGAAAATGCTTTATCGGGGACTTCACAACGGTTCCAAATGAAAAAAAAAAAGGGAAGGATTTGAGTGTTGATATGACTGGCAGATTACACAGCAATGTTTTATTTACAATTGAGCACAGAAAGAAATGTAGCTGTGACATCAGGTTAAATGCATCGGAAAGTTCTTCATTCATACCTAATAAATAACAGAAATGTTTGTATAAGATTTATTTAGTCTTCCTGGAAAGAAGGTATTAAAGGTAGTGGAGGGCAAAAATGAATGAATGAATCAAACTACTGTTACAAGGTAATATGTGCATTATTGAAGTGAATAAATAACAAACTGGTTGAATATCATATTGTTATATATTTGCTTTATGTCATGTGTTTATGACTGTTTCTGTATTTGATATCCTGTAAAAGTTAACACAGGAGGGTTTTTTTTAACCAAAGATAAATCATATGGAGCTTTGAAGCTTAAATTTTGTGAAACAAATAGATTAATTCAGAGTTATTTACCATTACAAAGAAAGCACATGATGTTGACATGGACAAGTTCGAAAAAAAAAGTAGCGGGGTTGTGTTTTCATGGTTGTTTCTTCTTCAGTTTGCTGTACAAAGATAGAGCTGAACACAGTGTTCAGTCTGACTATAAACCGGTACCACACCAGTAACGTGTATTCTTTTCCACAACTGATTTCTTCCTTTTTCACCATTTTGTTTGGTAATGAGGTCTGTCAGATATTTCACTGACAGTTATGAATCTATTTATATGCAGCATTCCACGCAGAAATCCTGACTATAACAAAACCAGGAAAATACATACTGGAATTTTCATGAAATATTATATAAGACAAATTTAATGTCTAAAAATTCTACACAACGTCGATTCTTTTTTTCTCGCCATGAAGTTCCCAAAGAAGTACACCATTTTCCTCTATGTGCCCCCACCTGCAGAGGATCTTCACACACATCCCCGCGAGCCTTCTGGAAATGACTTCATCCAGTCAGATCACCCACAACTTGAGGTGATCGTGTCCTCACGTAGCTCCGTCAGCAGATTTCCTGCCGCTCAAAAGATCAAAGATCTGCTTGTCAGACACATTCCTTGCCTCGTGTATCACTGAAAAGCCTGCAATTAGGTTTTTCCCACCTTCCCTCCTCCCTTTCTCCTTCTTCTCCTCTGCCCCTGCATGTCAGACAGACGGCCCCATTCATCCCCTGCACGGCCAACTGTACGCTGACAGGCACCGGCCATTGTGGCAAACATGGCCTAATTATACATGTGTTCCTGTGTGGTAGGCTCTAATCACACAGCAACAATGAGTGTTTTGTCCCGTCGTATCCAGGCGTCATTAAGAACTGCAGCCCTGTTATCGAAACCCTCTCAGTCCCTCTGTTCGCTGTACCCCCTCTGCCAGGTAAAGTGAAAGCCTTTGAAATGGATTAGTAGGAATCCTTATTTAACTAACGGCTGTTAACAGCTGGAAATCAGCGCGATGTCTCATCACAGAGAGCAAAAATGATTAAGCGGGGTTGCCGACAGTAAGATGAGCCAGATAGTCAGACAGTTGGGCAACATTTAATGATCACTTTAATGACTTTTCAAACTACAGAGGACCTATTATTTTTCAATACAATGTTCATTTGTGAAACTTAATAGAACGGTCAGATTAAATAGAAGTTGGGACTCCATCAATGTATAAGTGTGACATACTGACATGTAAAAATTATGTTATATTCTTTATCTATGTTCTAAAAAAATGTTTTATATATATCATTATCATACATTATATATTCATATGACAATAGCATGTAGGCTTTCATTAATTTTGGCCAATGTAATGTATTTTTAAAATGCGGTCAAATAAATTTGGTACTACAGGGACAGTATTTATCCATAAAACTGGATTAAGTACTAAATGAGTTATAACACAGTGATTAAATACATGTAATCTGTTATTGCAGAGAAATATACAGGAAAATGCATATAACAGTATCACGTTGGGTTTTGGAAGCTAAAGAACAACGTACAGGATGAATTTCCATCAGTCTTCTGATTATGGCTTTTTTCCTGTGATGCATTATGATCTGAAGTGTTGAACTTGCTCGGCTACCAACAATTCCACATTGTAAAGTAAAAGAGTAAAACAGATTTTGAGCAGAGAAGGGCTTTCATGGAAAAATAATCTGACTGAGCTGAAATTTATTGATAGTTTGGTCTAATTGGTAAAGTTATTAATTGGACTGAACTGAAAATGAACTGCTTCTAATTGCAGGTGACGCAACGTGGTTTTACAGAGAGAAAAAGACTTATGGAAAACTAGGCATTTATCTCTAAATGCTCATAATTCAACAAACTTGTATAAATTTGAGGCGAAGATCTTAGAGCACATAAAAAGCTTTATTGTCACACAAATCTTTAACATAAACAATGTTAGATTTCAAGCTTAGAATGTGGAAACTATTCAGCAGTGCCACTAAGGATATAACTCACTGTTATATAATTTAACATAATTTAATAAATATCTTCATTTGGCAGGATTCGACGAGGAAAGGGGATGATACAGGTGACAGGATGTGATGTACTTCTCTTTTTCTTTTTTTCCCCACTTTTTTTTTTTCTTATCCCTCTTTTGACTGAAGAGGCAGAAAGCAACACCGAGAAACAACCGTAGCGAAACAGATTTACAGCATATCTGCCTCTACGTGGAGTCTTGGCAGGTTCAATACACATTCAGCTTTCACAAACACAACATTGTAGCGTTAGAGGTTGTCTGGGATGCACAGGAATGTAAAGTAGTTAAAGAAGGAGAACACAAATGGCTTGGGAGAGCCTGGGGAAGTCCGAGTGGAACTGAAACACCAGGAGAAAAAATTTGTACATTGTGACGCACCCTTGTGTGCCCATGACTCTTAATACATTCCTTTAATGTAAACCGATAAACTTCCACTCTTCCCAGACTAATACTCAACCGTTTTCTTCACTTTCACAAGCGTTTTTCTACAATAACTGTGGGATTGCTTTGGATCTTTTTTTTTTTTTTTAAATACATATACATTTTTTTGCGTGTAAACAAATCTTACAGAACAAACACCTTTTGAGATTATGTGTAAAATTTTGGCAGCCTAGAGTTTAAGCAGCAACGAGCAAGTCATCTGCGGAGGCCTGTAGCGTATAGAGACACACAACCCATCACTGCAGCCCGATTAATGCGGGCCAGCGTATAAACAGAAACAACAATGCGGAAGCGTCGAAAAGTCTAATCGAGCCATGCAGGCGAACGCCACCAATAACACTTCAGTTAGTACGAATGGACGTGAGGCCGTGGTATATTACAGTGTCTTAAACCCAAGACCTCGCAGCATCAAGTCATCCTTCGGTCCCTCATTGAGAAAAAAACAAAACACAACAGCAAAAAAATGAATAAAAAAACACAAAAACAAACGTATCTGAACACCTTTCTTTGGGGAGGAAGAGTGTGGCATGCACAGAGAAGAATCTCCATGCTGGGAGTAGAGTCACAGAGGGGGGGGGGGTGGGGGTTGGGGGGGGGGTCAGGTCTGGAAAAACCCAGCCTCTCCTCGGTCCAATCAACAAAGTGCATCTCAGCGAGTGGCTGGTAGTGCTGTGCGCGTTGTGAGGTGAGTAATGCGGGTGTGTGGAAGAGTTGTGGTATTTAAACTCCCTGATTCCACGCGGTGACTGGGGAGCGAGGGGGGGGGGCAGAATGTGTGACTCCTGGCCTTAGCGACGCAGATGCTGCTTATTCGTGGGCCGACAACACCGGCGTCTTTAATTAACCTCCTCCGTCTGCGTCACTGGATCTTCCCCGAACTCGACACCCCCCCCCACGCAAAACAGCCGCGACTCGCACAATGACCGCTGGCTAGAGTTGTGGACCGTCACCTATGGGCTACATTTGGCAACTTTAGACCAATACAAATGTTTTCTTTTTCCATTACTTCCAGCAGCATTTCACATTTGATTAGATAATCTAACATAAAAAATATAGATTTCTTTTTCCCCCCCATTTCATACAGCCCTCCCTCCCCAACACCACCACGGTAAACATCATCCACTGTAAATATCTTACTAAGTTTGACAACCGGGGAGATTGTTGCTAAGCAGGAGATAAAACAGGAATATTCTTGAGAGGCAACTTCTTTAGCCGCTTTCTATCGTTTTGCAGCCAAATCTATGGCTCATTTTATCATAAACACCAAACAACAGCGGAGTCCAGATGCACGTTTTTACACCTTTAAACAGCATCATATTGTTCTATATGAATGGCAGCACACCGATGAAACATGAAAAGTAACTTTCTCTGTGTTTAGAGCTCCAGCAGAAAATAACCTAAGTATTTATTTTTTTGTTGTTGCTGAAATAAAATGAGTAGTGCAGGGTGGCTGTGTTCTTGAATTGGTTCTGATAGCACTAAGGGTGTGGTGCGATGCGTGTGCACACAGTTGGTCTATTAACATGTGGAAAGACCACAGAGGTGAGCTGTGGATGTGATGAAATCATTGGACCAGCAGCTGTGGGGATTCCCTAACAAAAAAAAAAAAAAAAAAAAAAAACACATTCTCTTTCTCTCACTTCATTTGTGTGTCTGGAAACACAACGGGGTGGGTCCCACTGTCTCTCCCACCAGCTCGTCACGAAGCCTTGGAGTGCAGTGCGGTGGGCCACGCCGGAGGCCGTGCACTAAATAAACGCGCGACACAAGCAGAGGGGATGAATTATAAACCTCCGACAACAGAACAGAAGGTGGAAAAGGAAAACACAACACGACTGAAGTAAATCCTGGTCACTGCATGCGTTGCGAAACGCACGCCCGCCCACATTGGTGATGGTAAGAGGGTTCGGCTGATCTGCGTGGCGCCCTCTGGGGGCCGTTTATGTTTGCAAAAAAAGGCCTGTGCGGAACAGAGGAGAAGACGAGAAGAAAAAAAAAAAAAAAAAACGAGAAGCCCTAAGCGTGCTCCAGCAGCCACTGGAAGAGAGGGGTGCGGTGAGGATCTCTGCCCGCGGGGGGGGCCTCCGGCCGGGCGGGGGGGTGGCTGTGCGTCTGGCTCTCCTCGCAGTAACGGAGCAGCGTGTGCAGCAGGTCGCCCACCCTCCACTTCCGCTCCCGGAGCCTCTGGACCACCGCCGGCAGCTGGAAGGACACGCGCTTATCAGTCAGATCAGAGGAGGCGCAGAGCCATTGTCATTTATCATTTTGATGCACGGCCACTAAAAAGGATCTGGGTAATGTTCTGTGGTTTAACCACCAATCCATTTGGAGATACGAGGCAATATGTCTTACTGGAAACCTTCAGAAATAACGTCAAATTAAATAAATATGAGATAAATATGATAAAAAGCTTCACCTTTTTTAATGACCGCAGAGTTTCTAGCAAGCTGCACATTTCATACACATGTCATGGAGTGCATAGTATTCTGACATAGCAAGTGATGGCTATGGAGATTATCCTGAACAGTCTGCTGCCCTTTATATCCCCGAATGGTCGTTTAATTCCTACTTACTGTGTCAGTGATCTGTGCTTATCTCTGCTTTAATCTACTATCAACAAATGACATACACTCTGACTCAATCAATCTGTTGTTGTGATTCGAAACTGCTAATTTTCACGCTTAAAAAAAAGAAAGGTCAGAGGCAGATAAATATACAACTTTGGACCAAATCAAAATTAAACAGTTTTAACATTTCGCAACACCTAATGGTGTAAGCTGTTTACGGTAGTTTACATAAGTCAGGGAACAGCTTTCAGGATGTCAACAGAGACAGTCTGTACTACAAGTCCAACAAGTCCAGCAGGTCCTGCTCTTAAGCAGCCTTTAGCACTTCTTCTTCAGACATGATGGATTTTAATGTTACTAACAGAACTTTTTGCAGCCGTGTTCTCTGTCAAGACGGTGCAGGTCAGGCCGCCCTTAAATTGTGGAAAAAAGATGATTTAGCTCATTTTCTCATTAATTTGACTGATCCTAACGGATAATTAACTTCACAGTGAGAAGATCCACCTGATGGTGAAACCGGGTATTACATCGAATCCAAAAGAATTGGTCTGATAGTTCCATTTTCACGCAATGAATTCACAGCTTTAGTTGGTTAATGACGGAATTTCTAACTAACTAACACCAATAGACGGGAACATCGACAGGATCATTATGCAACTTCTTTCAAGTCATCCTTACAGAAGCTGGAGATTTTCAGCCGTTTGTATCTGCAACAGAGTTGAAACTTCTAAAATCAGATGCTTTGACCCTAGCAACCTGAGATGGGAAGACGGGTTGAATAATCAAGACCCCAGTGTGAGGCCGCTCGGGTCAGAGGAAATGAAAACCCCTCCCAGTCACCTGCTGCAGCTCTCGGTCGGGACTCAGCTGGATCTGAGGGATGTCGGCCATGGAGGCTGCCACCCACTGCAGCATGCTTCGGAGCTGGGGGTCGAGGGTCACGTGTTGAGAGCCCCGCCTGAACTCCCGGACGTCCGAGTTCACGATGAGGAGGGCGGTCCTGGGAGTCTGCACCTGGGTCCTGTCCATACTTAGGGTCCCTGCAGCACAAAGTGAAGTCACCAATCAGCCCCTGACATCAGAACTTATTCACCAATCGAGCACAGACGGACCTACTGAGGCTTATGCGTGTAACGGCGTTCTTTTTGGGTTCCCACGGTTCCATAGACAAAAAAAAAAAATGACTAGCCCCCCACCCCTCGCTGCTGCACTTTGACACACATCTAAGGCATTGGTGTGGCTGAATATGGGGGTGGTAAAATCCCCTGCAACAGCACATTCAGACAGGCGGGCGCAGACGGCCAGAACACAACTGCCGTCCAAGTCTCAGAAGAGTGGAAAGAACGAGACCTCAAATTAGCAAATCTTCGCCTCATTTCCATGGATTGAACTGCACGATTTGGGCTTGAGAAAAAAGAAAAAGAAAGGAGACATAATCTAGCATTCCCACTGACTAGACACTCCTGCGCAAAAGTCTCATCCAGCCTTTGTGGGAACTAATGTTCTATTGATTTCTTCTTTTATTTTTTCTGAAGTGGTCCTCAATCCATAGCTCAATTTGGCTACTTTTTTTGCTAATTTTCAGTCCAGTCTATTTACCTGATCAAAAGGATCAGATGCCATTGGGCATTTTCAGAAGGAAAACCAACTCCTGACTGGTTCGTTAGAATTGTTCCAACTGTGGTTCTATATATTCGCACACAAGCTTCAACAACACACTGGACCAACAGTGCTGTCCATCATTAAAAGAAGACAAGAGGCAATAAGATATCCTTACCGCTGGACTCCTCTTTGACTTCGGTCTCCTTGTCGTCTGTATAGTCACTGATGGATAAGGAATACCCCACAGTTAGAGAGGAGAGAAACTGCTGAGCATGAGAAGGCATATAATGAAATAAAAGAATCAGTAAGCATGCATAAGCCAACAGCCTTTGAAATGGGCAAAGGAGGATCAAAGGCCACACAAGTCAATCATTGCAATCCCGATCAAAAGACAACTGAGGAAAGTATTCAACATATTTCCCGTCAGTGTTTCTTTAAAGATTCCAGCTCATTTACTTTACTGCTTTAATGTCTTTTGTCAGTTAAGACTCAATGACGAATAATGCCGCCCGATCAGTGTGAAAGTTGATTTTTTTTTCCCCCTTTGAAAATCTACATGATATCCTTTCCGTCAATTTTGCAAATATTTGCTGTGTGAAGTGCCAACAGGTAAACAGTCATTTCTCCATTTTTATAAGATTGTTAATCACAGTCTTGTTGACACAGCCTGCAGCTACAGACACCCAGACTCTGCTCCATTTGTTATAAAGGATATCATTTTCTTTTCGGAAAGAAAATGTCTGGGGGTTTTCTTTTTTCCTTTTTTTTTTGTTGTAAAAAAATACATTCCCCGTTCAGGCCCATGAAGCATCACGGCTTGCAGGAGCAGAAGAAAATGACATAACGAGACAGAATGCAAACAACTGGTCAAAGTAAAACATCAGTGTGAATCCAGCCTGGTCTATTACCAGTGGGGAAATGAATGGGAAAGATTTTTGGAAATCTGATCCACACAATTAACGTTAGAGGTTTTGTCTTTATCCACTTTCATCAATTCTAAGTGTTGGTATTTTCTTTTTGTGCAGTTGCCCTTCACATGTTTGGCAGCAGGAGGCTTTCGATGTGAACTCGCAGCTGGGAAGACGAGTTAGGGTGTGTGAGGGAATGTCTGTCTGGGAGCGCACAGGCTGCCGGACGTGAGGCATCAATTACACTGTGGAAAACAGGGAATTCATTACGATCTATGTTGCACTGATGTCAGTGTATCTATCTGTACATGACAAGAGGCCGACAGGTCAGCAGAAAGGAGACTGAGGGCCGACTATGAGCTCATCCACTTGCACACGGGTGGTAAAAGCTCAGGAACATTTCAAAGATTTTACTTCTGAAATCTCTTGTAAGTTGTAACAAGCCAATGGTGTTGTTTTGGCATGCTCACCAATCAAGAGGTTCAGTTCATGTAGAAAAATTTCTGTCTCACTGAAATTAGCATATGCACCTGCTTGTTGGGACCCAAAGCAGATAAATACCTGAGAGCTCTGACACAGGAATGAAAACTAACTCTAAAAATGTTCACAGCAATTAAAAGTGTTTGCAGGTTCTTTGACATATGCAACAGCAGCTTAACAGTACAAGCAGATAATGAGTGCGGCGCCTCCACGACCAACTAACGGCAAAATACATTCTAGCTCAAAAGCCAGCAAACTGAATGTTACAAATTACGAAAAAATAACAAAAAAACATCTAATAAAGCAACCACATTACAGGCAGCGACAGCAAAACTTAAGCAACACATAGCATGCAGACATTAGCATCAACGAGCAAGTGCCATGTCGAATCCATTCATGTGCGGAGCTACACTGTGTTTGTCATGCAAGAAGCTGCTGGTTCCTAGTATGAGACAAAGAATAATCTAAATTCCTTTGAGCAATGTTTTCAGTTATTTTAACATGATGAAACAATTCCCCAGTCCTGTGCTGTTGTTCCCTTATGGATCTGTCACGTGTTTGTCGTCACAGTAAATCTAAGCGACGCGGATCATTCTTTGTCCCATTCTAGGTGAACCCAGAGGCAGTTCAAATACAAGTTAACCCCGCCGTGGACCAACCTGTCAGAGGGGGAAAATGACATGCGCTCCTCACAAACCTCCCCCTCCAGGCCCAGACTGCTCCAGCTACTGCTGTTCCCATTGCTGCTGAAGAGAGAGGGCATGTAACGCACCACCGTAACACCAAATGCAACAAAAGATCAGGGTATAATGAGCACTCTCCTCTAGCTAGCTATGGTGGCTAAATCCATCATGAACTGTTCATAAACAAAAACTTAGGCCGACGATCATTTGCAATAAGCCGTTAACCGTCAGGTGAGGTTCAAAGCAGAGGGGGATTCTCGCAGTGATGCAGGTTTTCCACGGGAGATGACATCCTGCTGAATCATCCGCGATGTTAGTGGAGATATTTTGTTGCTAAAAGCCTAAGATGTGAGATCACTGCATTCACATAATGGCGTTAATCCTGTGGGTTCCACCAGGACAACCAGCTGGCAACAGAGGCACAACAACACTCTCTGTAATTAGTCAATGATTACATTGCTGGCTCGAACCTGCACACAGCCTGAGTGGGTCTGAAAGGAGCAATGTTTCTGATTTCTAAAAATACCCTAATTAATCCGCATTTAACTCAGCTTTCTCCTTGAGGTTTTGTTAAATTATACGTGTTAGGAGTTGCTTGATAGACGCAATCTTCACACTCGGTGTCTCGACAAGCTCATCAAGATGTTTCTCTAGAAATGTTTTCCACATTTTTTTCCCCCTCTGTCACTTCGTCAACCGAGTGGAAATGGTTGCAGTAGGCGTTTGAGGAGTCTCATGAATTACACATGATGGACTTTGTTCCTGTAGAAACAATGCCTGAAGTGAGGAGAGCGCCCAAAGACACACCTTTTAAAAATATTATGATACAATGACTCAGCCTCCATGGCTGAAATAACAAAACCTTTCACACACTGTTGTGTTGGAAAAGAATTTCAAATGTTGTCAGTTTTGCTTCCATAGAGATAAAAAAAAAGTTTCCCAGAAATATAAACATTCCGAAAGACTTCATCAAGCCATGCCCCAGAGAGGGCAGGCAGTCAGGCCGGAGGGTTGGTTCTGACATGGTTCTGTGTGCTCCGTGTACTGGTGTGGGTCCGCTCTTACCCAAATACAGACATAACATGCTGGGACAATGAAAAGTGCATAAGGCATAAATCCGGCTTACAGCATGTATGGAAAAGACTGTTTCTCCTCACTATAGCATGATGAAAGATTCCAGCTAAAAATAAAACATAAAATGTAATCAAGGGGCTCTAAAGTGGAAAGAAATTTGTAAAAAAATGTAGGATGACTGAAAATTTGTATTAAAGATTAACCATTGTTATAACAGTATAGTTATAACTGGTTAGTTTTAAAGGAAGACGTCATAAATGGCTGCAACGCTTTGGGAGAGCAAAGAAATTCACTCAACCTTCACCAAAACTGTGGTGGCTGTAAAAAAAAAAACAGCTCTAGACTAAAGTGTTGGGTTCATCTTTTCAAGGCCTCTGTTTAAAGAGAGAGAGGCCAAGTGGAAGAGGCGCTTGTCGTACGTTTACATTTTCTCTTATTCTTATTACTGTACCACAAAGCTGTGGATTTGAAGTTGGACTCCTGCCAGTGGAACATCCTGGATGTTTCACTTTAAACTGCACTTTGATGTTTCTGTCAATTATTTCTTACCCAATCATCAGATGCATGGTGCGGTTAGAATGGGACGAATATGCAAGTGCCGTTTTACTTGAACTTGAATGTGCTGCTGCATAGGAGAACGTGGGATGTACTTGAACCCTGCTCTTTTAAAACAAATCAGTGTGATTTAAATGGTTATTGTTTAGCCATTAATACTGAACTTCCTTCTCCTTACCGATTGCTCCTTGAGAAATGTTGCTTGCAGGTTTTAAACAGCTCAACTGCTTTTGTTTAATATACACTTCATGCTGCTGTTGTACTTTGAAAGTGTTCTCGTTTAAAGGAGGCAAACTAGTTTTACCAGCAAATGTTGGCAGTGAATGAGAGGTGGACTATTATTACACTCTCACTTTGATTGCATTTATTAGAGTTAACGTGTAGATCAGAAACGTAGGTCCCTGAAGTATGGCATCAATCCTTCTAAAAGAGTCAACCTTAAGTGTGTTTTATTGTTTTCAAAGGGCATAACAGGAAACAGTGATACACACTACTACCTTCTGGTGATAGAAAATAAAACATGTTTCTATTAACATTTTGTAGAATAGCTCCAAAAACTAATTTTGGATCCCAGCTGCCTCTAGGGCAAAGATTAAGACCCTTCATATCCTGTCCCTCGATAATTCAACAGTTCAAAAAGTCCACAGCTCATATGCTGGCGCGGCACTTGTTACACTGCATATAAATAGATTGTTTACTTTAATAGGACAGCCCCAGTATAGAAATATTCCCTCCCTCCCGTCTGGTTGGGGAAAAAACACTTGGAATACAAACTGCACGCTGCACAGGAACTGTTTTTGAGCTCCATGTTCTGCTAAAAGAAAAACAACCCCAAAGCTACGGCTACAATATCTTCTTTGTTGTGTCTTTGCCGGGCATAATCATGATGTTGACTGTTTACTGTGACCAACGACGAGGCTTTGGGCACGAAGTGCTAAAGATAAAAATCAAAGAACCGGTCAGATGGAGAAAAATAAATTCTCATCTGACTTTGCTACAAAAGAAAGCGGCATTCAGACTACAAGCCATTACTTGTTGCATTCATTAACCTTAAATTGTGGAAATAAATATTTTTTAATGTTTGTTAAGACCGACTAATTTATCAGTACATTTATCTCTTTGACATAAAGCGCTAACGTCTGAGCAAGTTAGGATTGTTTTCATTATAAATGACGCTGACACTGTGAGAGGTACAGGCAAACCGGGTATCTGCTAAGGTGCGTGAATGTAGTGGCTGGTGTCTACCTGTCACTCAGATGGAGGAAGCTGCTGTTGTCGTCTGGGTGATCGTCTTCAAAGCTCAAGTTGGACCAGCTGCCCAGACTGTCGTCTCCAACGCTGAGCTGCTGGGAGACGGTGGACTCGGTGGCCTCCCTACCCGCAGAGCTGGACGAGACGGAAATACAGCAAATGAAACACAATTACAAATTCACGATGGGAAGTCAAGTGGTGAAAAAACAAAATCTTGTGGTGTTTTCGTCTGTAAAAAGACAAACGGCTGATTAAACAAAGCCATATTGAACCAACTAAACTGAACGGCCCTTGGTGTGTGTGTGTGTGTGTTTGTGTGTGTGAGTGTACCTGACGCTGGCAGCCTGGCAGATGTTGGACAGCGCTGACGTCATGATCTCGGCAGTTAAGCTCTCGGCGTAGCTGGTGCCCTCGTGGCCGATGCCGCTGTCGGCGTTGAGGCTGGTGTTGCTCAGCTCCCGCTTGGCTTTCTCCATGGCGATTGACACCATCTCCTCCGCAAATGCGTTCCTGTGGTCCAGGTCGATGTGGATCTTGGGAATCTCCACGCCGGAGAGCCGCCGACCGTCCGCCCCCCTTTTCCTCCTCTGTAAGACCGGCTGGTCGTGGTGATGCCGCAGTTTGGTGCAGTGTGGACACTCCTGAACCAGACAGTAGCGGCAGGTCCTCTCCCCCATAGCGCGAGCTCCCGCTGGCCCCTCAGACAGCCTCTGGGTGTGAGAGTGTCTGTCTTGGCCTTGCGTCCGCAGGTGCTCCCAGGAAGAGTTGCCGACTGAAGCCAAGCTCATCTTGAGTGTGTCATCCACTATCTTCCTGGCATAGTGCTCAATGACCTGCATAACACTGCTGCTGTAACCTCCATCGTACAGGCTTCCTGTACTGTGGTACTGCCTGCTCTTGTCCTCCTTAGACAACAGAGGACAGGAGAAGGAGTTCCTAACTAGACTATCTGCCATGTTTTCAAGCTTGGACTTCTTATAAAGGCATGAGTCGGTGAGCGACTTTGGGAGTCGGACAGAGGACAGATGGAGCTTGCGCGTCACATCACAGGTGATATTGTAGGCTAATGACTCGGCAAAGTTAACCAAATCCATGTATTCCCTCTTCCTTTGCCCTTCAGAGTGCCTGCAAGAACACTGGACGTCATCCCCAGACAACCCCACTGACTCCGGTCTGTCTTTGGGTGATGCGGATTCACTACCTGAAGCTTTCCATTCATCTGGCAAAGACTTCGAAGAGTGAAGGCGGGCACCTGCGGATCGCTGCTTGATCTTACGACTGGCGTGCGCCAGACCTAGTTTAATGGAACGGTAAGCCAAGCGGCTCGCATACTGGTCCAGGACCAACTCTCTACTGCCCCCTTCCTTTTTCAGCACCTTGATGAGGTAGCCAGCGTATTCGTCGGTCACGCTTTCACAGCTGGGGTACTCGGACGACAGTCCCGAGCTGGAGCTGGAGACGGTGCTTGAAGCCGAGGTGGGAGAACTGGACACGGAGGCTATAGAGTCGTTCGACCACTGCTCGGTCAGCCTCCCCAACCTCCAGTCTCTGACCTGCTCTGTGTTGGGATGAGACTGGTGTCGGCTGTGGTGATGCAAACTCTCGGAGCTGGATCTGTCTAAACTCCTTCTTCTCCCGAGCGCTCGGTGGTACGGGCACTGCTGTCCGGAGCCCACCATCCTCTTCACGTCGTTTATGACCTCTCCTGCCACCTCGCCAGCATACACCCACAGGGTGTTTAGGGTCTGCTCGGAGAACTGAGCGACACTGTCTCTCCTCCTCTCGCCGCCCCTGCTCAACTCCCTCTCCTCCCCCTCAACACCTCCCAGGGTATCCATTTCTGTTGCCATGGAGACTATGTGACACGCAAGTCGTTCAGCGTAGTGGAGAGCTTCCTTGTTGGACATTCTACGAGAGGATGCGCGTTTCGGGTCATGTCGGTCACCTTCGGAATCGGGACAGATGCCAGTGCCAATTATAGCTCCCTCTTCTGCTGATTCCTCCACCCCGTCCTCTGTGGCATCTGCCTCCTCGGAGAGAGACCTCATCAGGTTGAGCATGAACTCAGCTTTTTCTTCCTCCGGGATGCTGCCCTGTGGGCCAGGGCCTGGCTCGGGCTGATAGTGGGGGCTGGGAGGAGGGGTTGCTGGAGAAAACTCCTTTGCCAGCTTGCTCTTCAGCTTCTTGGAGAATTGCTTTATTTGCCTCTCTTTGGAGACCTCGCTGGGCTGTTGAGGGGTGGAGGGAGGAGTACCAGGAGTGCCACCAGACTTTTGGCCCGGGCTTGGGGTTGAGTCATCCGCGGGTACGGATATCCTGCTTTGTCCACCCACAGTGGTTCCTGGCACCTCAAGAGTATCCATCATTACCGGATGAGTTCCAGCCACACCTCTCCTCCTGGGATCCATCTCACAACAGACTCTCCTCTGGTTTGAAGAGCCGCTTTGAAAGGAAATGGGATGAACGTCAGCTCCCGGCTTTGAAGGAGAATCTGGGGTATCCTGCTTTGAGGCAGAGTCCCTTGGGCTTCCAATTGTCTTTGTTAGGAAATCAGCACAGTCGCCAAAACTCTTTGTCATCTTGGAAGCAATTATAAGCTCACAGGCCTCCGTTACTATCATATCCACCATGTTGCCAGAGAAGTTTTGGAAGGGAGACTTCTGCTGGCAGGGGTCTCCTCCAGTTATGGACGTATGACCACCATGCCCAGAGGAGTGAATGTGTGAAGAGGCGGCAGCCTCAGGGGGTGAAACCGTTTTTGGGCTGGCCTCCGACGGCGCTTTTTGTGGACAGGTCTCCTCCGTTTCCGGTAAATGGGAGAGGGCCTGGCCCGCTTGAGGAACGGGAATGCAGCTGGCCATGCCCGATACAGTGAACAGAGCATTCTTCACCGTGCAGCTGGCATCCTCACCTGATGGTCTTGCAGCTGCTGCAATAGAGCTTGCGCTTAAAACCTGCTGGTTCGTAAAGGTGCTGCATGTGCCGGTGCCTGTGTTTTCTGCATTGACATAGCAGATGTTGTCGAGTGACACACTAATTGCCGCTTGGCTCGTGAAAGTGACATCGGCCTGAGACAGCTCTATGAAAGCCTCCTGGATTACAGACTCAGAGAGGTCTGAAGCATAGGAGGACACCACTACCTCCTCCTCCTCCTCTTCTTCTTGCCTGTGGCCAAATGACCAATCACTTGGCGTGAGAGGCGTTGAGGGATGGGAGAACTGACACACTTCCATTATGCCCTCAAACACCAGCTCTTCGGCCAGATCAGCAGCAAACCGCGTCACTGTGCTGTGGAAAATCTGCTTTTTCACTGTGAGGAAGTCTTTCAGGGCCCCGGAAACAGCTTCCCCGACAAGGAAGCCGGCTAGTCCATTAATAGCTCGTTCCTTCAGCACATAGGCATGACGCATGCCAATTTCATGGAAGGCCATCTGGAAAACTGAGGAGGTTAGTCTGGCAGCCAAGTGACACAGAGTGGTGGTACAGGAGGAGACACCTTTCTGAAGGTCTCGCAGTGCGCTTCCCAGGCTCATCTCCACCAGGTCGGAGGCGAACCTCTGAATGCCATCCTTCAGAGACTGGGACTTTTTCTGGAGCTTCGCCACTGTTACCGTTTCCTGGATGTCTGAGAGCTTCATCAGGTAGCCTGAAGGGTTCTCAAACTCCTTGTGGCAGACACAGCTGAGATTCTTGTTCTCGTTGATGTCAACGGCTGACTGGTATCCGCAGACGGATCCCAAAATCTCTTTGGACAGATTGCTGGCGAAGTCCGAGTAGGTCTTATACAGGGAGCAGAGATCTTGCGGTTTACGCAGCTCTGAGCTGTCCTGCCCATCCTCATCGGTCCTCCAGAAAAACTCCATCGGCCCGCTCGAGTCAACCAGAGGACTAAAAGCAGAGGAGCTGACCGGACTGAAAAGCGGGCCACCATTCTCCTCCGAAGGAGTCTGCACCATTCGAGGGGAGTCGGGCACCTCGGAGTGAATAGAGTACGGAGAGCCTGGTTTCAAAGGAGTGGGTTTTTTCACATTGGCTGGGAGTGTGGGCTGGTCGAAGCGGTGGGGATTCATGCCCTTAGTTGAGCAGCCCCTGGAAACATACTTGGATGCCGACCCACTGGTCTTGGCCTCAGCAGACTTGTGTGTGGTCGAGGTGGGGTCCAGAGGGAGAATCAGAGTGCAGCTCTCTGAGCTCAGCTCCTCCAGGTCATCAAACTGGTCAAAGCTGTCAAAGAATTCACTGACTTCAGAGTCTGAGTCTTCAACTCGCTCTCTGGGCCCCCCGGGCACCTGGGGGATGTCCAACTTGGCCAGCAGGCTCTTTTGGTAGCCTACTTCATCCAGGAAAATGATTGGGCTGGGGCTGGAACAGTCGGATTCTTCAGACTCACTGATGTTGACTGAAGGGGAGGGCAGACGAGCACCAGGACTGCAGTAGGTCCACTGGGAATCAACACCTGAAGATGACCTCTGCACTGTAACAGACACGTCTGGGCCTGACTTGTGTTTGGCTGAATGCTTCTTGGAGGATGAGCTCATGATAACGCAGGACCCGGACAACTCTTTTTTCCTCTTGTGGAATGGGACTGTCTGGGAAGCCACATCACGCTTTTTGAAATGGCAATAAGGAGTGGCGGCTGTGAAGAGACAGGAAGTAGACAGTAGGCGAAATCAGTCTTATGTAACGTGTTAAAAATGGCTATGCAGTGATGCAACGTTTTAAGATAACAACTCAAGAAATGTTAAATGCTTGTAAGCCTTAAATGAACCCACAAGGAATGTCTCCAGTGTCTTCCTCCTCCAGATGCTCCAGGGCTGTGACAAAGTCATCCTCGATTGATGAGACTGACTGGTTGGTGTCGTCTTCCTCTGGCTGGCTGCTCTCCACTGCACCCCTCTGAAGAGCCTGGAGCTCCAGCACGTAGCGGACCCCTGCCATGTAGCATCCCACCAAGCCCAACAAAGATGCTATACTGGCCTGAGGGTAGACGCTCGTGCTGGGATTGTGCCTCAACACACACACAGCCTTTAGCAAACACTGGGTGAAACGGAAGGAAGAGAAGGACAAGGACAAGAGAAATGTTAAAAATTTGTTCTGGTGGACAGGTGTCTGAAAACAAACAGTCTACAAACTGTTAAAGCCATCTTGTCCTGACCTGCAATCCTTTGGTCAGAACAGCTGCTGTTGTGAAAGATAGAGAGTTTAAAAATGTAAACTAAATTCACATGGAGATTTTTTTTTTCTGGCGGAAGGGGCCTAAGTGGGCTGGAAGGGGACTGTTTTGTCTGCGCTCTGATTGCAAGTTACCAGAACACAAGATCATTTTGTGCAAAGCCACACTTTTTTAATTCTTTATCAGTGGGAGGTCTTGCACTCTGAAATGGCCAACAAACCCACAAAATGAGCTGCATATCCTCTGGAACCCAAACAAGACACACAGTACCAGGAAGGGCAAGGTTGCAGTCGTAAGCTGCAAAAACAACATCTGTTTAACCCACCTGTGTTTTGTCAAAAGCGTGAGAAAAAACACGGGTGCCTTTGCTTGTCATACCAAAGGCCAAAAAGTAAGAAAATGGCAACAACAGCAAGAATATTGCCCTACATCTGAGACATAAAAAACAAACACTTTTTTAAGTGAAACATGTTGTGATTGGATGGGACGGATCTGTTTCCTGCCAACTTAAGATGCCTCTTCATATGTTCTGTAAGGTTTAGGGCCCTGTTCCCGTAACTTTGTTTCAGCCGTATCCTGATATTTTGAAAAACACACTTCATTCTGGGATTGACTGGTAGTCACAAAGAGACTGTACTATATGTGCCTATAAATAAAGATTATGTCAATGCACACTTAACACAAAATATTTTGAAAACTTTCTGACAAGTGATAGCGTTGTGTGGTATAGCTGATGACACTCTTTGGCTACATTTTTAGAATGTGACTCGCTCTTACATCCTGTTTTTGTCCCTCTACGATTCCCATCTGCAAAATTCTGCTTCACTCAGAATGCTGACCGAGTAGATTCCACCAAACAGAGGAGCCTGACACTGACCTGAGGCGCCGCGTCCCTGTGCTCGGGCAGCCGACGGGAGTCTTTGAGCAGCAGAACCTCGTCATTCTTTAGGCTGTGAACATGGAGAGACCGGAGAAGTTCGCACAGGCTGCCCGGTAGAGATGACAGAGCCTGAAGGAAAGTCAAAATTATACAGGAATCACCAAAAAATACTCATAATACCCTACCCTATATATACAGGCAATTTAGAATAATCAATTCACCAAACATGCATGTTTTTGACTGTGGGAGGAAGCCAAATAATCTGGAGGGTGCTGCTAATGGATTTAACAAATTATTCTTTCATTCATTAAAATGATTAATCAAAATTCATGTTTATAATCAAAAACAAACCTGCTGCGTGACATCATCCCCTTCACACTGTCCAGGCAGGCACACAAAATGAATCTGAAAGAGATGGTCCGTATTAATATCACATGTCTAACTCTACCCGAGCTCAATTTGTGGGATTGCACTGCAGTTTGAGAGTTGAACCTCTGTCAGTCTTGTGGCGTCTCTGATTGGCAGCTCCAGGCAAATGCCGCATAGCTCCTTTTTATTCCTGAAGAGGCTCTTGGCAGACTGTGCCTCACCATCACGCACCGTCTGGAAACACATGTGCAGTGTGCTTTTAGTCCCAATGAGCCCAGGGGCAGCGGGCCTGACTCTAGTCCGCAGCTCGTCTGCCATTTTCAGACTCCCAGAAGTCCTGTCAAATTTGAGCTGACATTTGAAGTCAACTTAAATACCTACACTGCATTGCATTTAATACAGCAGTCATCATCTGGGTCAGAGGCACAGACCCAAAAAAAAAGTAATACCAAAACTTCTCCAACTTCCTCCAGCTGTCGCTGGCCCCCGGCTCCTGTGGTTCTAGCCTGCCCTCCCGGGACAGAACAACGTGGCAAAAAGCAGAGAAAGGTTTGTCCAATTTGTCTGACTTTGGCCTATGAAGGACTGTAGTGTGGGAGCCCGTTTCCTCTGTCAAGTTAGTTTTGTAGAACTGTAAATGGAACACAAAGGGACTCCTTCACGCTTCTACAAGTGGAGGGATCATGAGACAGGCAGCCAGTGACACTGACTGTACAACACTACTACCCGCCCATCCCATACATTGACCAGTATGCGTAAAATTGGGGTCCAGAAAGGCTGACCTCTTTCCGGACGGAGGCCCTGGACCTTACTGGGACTCCTCTGATGCGAGCACAGGCGTCCATGGCAACAAGGAGCTGCTCCTGGCTGACTGGCAGCTCACCTGAAAACACAGGGGAGACGTGGAAAAGGAGTAAACCACCGGTTGGCAGGGGACAAAACAAAGAAGTATTAAATATGAGGTAAGGTTGAGGTGCGGATATGAGAGGGAGAAGAAAGAGTTATGAGCATATCATCACTTTTGGAGATCCAATTTCGATCGACAATCCTTAACATGCAAAAGAAAACATATTTCGTCTGTTGCTCTACACAGGCTGTCCCACCCAAAATAATGACAGTATCAGTGTTTTTACTAAAGAGATATACACTCTGATAACAGACATGAAAAAAAAAAACAAGTAGCACATTGTGAAACAGTCCACGAGTTACTAAAACGTAAGGGCCAAGCCACTGTGCCCATTTATCAGTTAGGGGAACCTCAGGAGACAGTTTACTAAAACACTGGGCTGTGGTATTGCAGGCCTAACTTCTTTGATATTCTGCAAGCAGCCATGCCTGCATTAAAGATCAAACGGTGCGGTTAGAGAAGGGTGTGTGCGCTCCGAGCAGGGGAACACACTTCGTAAGCAGAACGAGAGTGTGAATGAAGGAGGCAAAATATTTACAGTGTACAAGAGGGAAAAGTTTCCCAAGAAACCCAAGCCTCCCCTTTGAGGTCCGGTCCAAAGCAGCTAGCCGAGCCTAGCTGTAAGGCAGGTGGTCCTATTGATCAGCCCATCCTGCATCCTGGGAAGCGGTGGGATACAACGCATGCCATCGGCTTCCTCTGGTGATCCAGGACCTCCTGTCTTCTGCTTTGGTGGGCCATACAAGAACAACACAACCAGCCAGTGCCGCCTGACCTCAAATATGCAGAGCAACCCCGATTCAGGCACAAATGCAGCGAGCACAATTGCATCTTTAATAGCTTGCGACGAGCTTCGCCTCCTGTTTTTTTTTGGGGGGGCTGGGAATCTTTGATTTTTAGCATAATAGCGGGATCCAATTCCACAGCCTCACAACATCACAAGCGGTCACATGATGAGCCGTGCGTTTACTTTTTGCCCCGCCACAGAAAATTCACAAAACTAAAATCAGTCCCGAGCTTCAAGGGATGAATAATAAAGAGTCTTGGGATTTGCACAAAAATGCAACAACGCACAGTTGATGACGTCAGAGATAAAGTGGAGGCAACAGTTTAAACCGGAGAGATGGAAAAACATCCTGTGCAGTCAAAAAATCCTGTCGGGTCGGAGGCCGTTGTGGGCTAAAATTCAAGCGTGGGTGGCCGGAAAAGAGAGATAAACAGAATGGACGTAACAGTCACCGTCTGGAGAATCTGAGAAAACCTCACAACAAGAACAAATGAGGCACAGGTGACTCTTTGGTTTGGCGAGAGGAGAACAGCAGGTGCAAATAAAATGTAGGAGTTCCATTGTGGTGCTGCACTCACACAGTTCTGTTGTTTGGATGCCTTTCTAAGTGAACTTATGCTTATTTAAACAATAAGAATTAGCATTACAACTTTTGAAAGAGAACTAAACGGGCTATTTTTTGTCCACCCAGAATGTGACAATGAGCTCATTCGGAAAGAATCACTAAAAATCGCCATTTAATGGGATCACATCAAGAGGGAAATTATCTCAGAATGTCTAAAAAATAAAGAGAATCGAAGTGTTACAACCTGACCGACATGCTGTGATGGGGGTTTTTGAAGGATGTGAGCATCAGCAAATGCTCCACAACTAAATGGACTGAAGCAACATGGTGAACAAGAGTCAAGATGGAATCCCTCCACAAGACAATGTGAGAGACTGATAACATCATCTGGAAAACTATTACTTAAAGCTATTGTTGCCAAAGGTGATTGTACAAGCTGTTGAATCATAGGGTGGACTTAGCTATCAAACACTGCTCCTGTCCTTTGGCTTAGTTTTTCTTCAACACATAATGACATGATGTCATCAGCTGTGTGATCATCTGAGGTTTATTTAGATCATTTCAAGACCTGATGAGGACAAGATGATTTTGGGGGTTTTGTTTGTTTCTGCTACGTTATGTCCTGATTGCCTTAGGTGTGGTTATTAATTTCTATGAATAAATCAGGAAAATGTGTTTTTCCTATGACACATCTGTGTTCTTTAAAAGAGAACAGAAGGGCATCGCAAAGATCTGTTAAGACAAAACGCCGTCGCAAAACACACAAACATGCAGACGACCGGATGCAATCCAAACAACAACACTCCCGTCAACCGTGGCTAGCTGGACGGCTTCCATAGCGGAATAAGCCAAACCAATAAGCCTCAGTGGCCTGTTAGCTTGTCCACGTCTAAAATAATGGCTTTAAGACCGTACCGGGTGCTCTGTGGGGGGGTGACAGCCCACTGGGCTGAGGGGTGTAAGCAGGCCGCGGAGGAGCCTTTGGCTGTGGATGCTGATGTTGATCCACCAGCTCTCCCGGTGCGTTCACGGCCCGAGTCACTCGGACGGTTTACCCACAGGGCCAGCCATTTTTTTTGCAACACGTACACCGACGTGTACAGGCCCCCCGACGACACCGGTAGTAACAAGACACCGGTAAATGACACCGGTACCGCGTCGACACAAGTGCTCGCTACCTCGTTGACAGCCCGTCAGTCACCGAGCTAGCGGCGGAACCAGGCCGCGGTCGGACATGTCCGCTGTCACCCGTGATGAAGCTAACGGTTAGCCGCCGAGCTAACGGCGACGTTCAGGCAAAGTCAAACGGTAAAGAGACAGCAACGTTTTAGTCATACGCGGCTCATTCCAAACAATGTTTGCAACTGCTCTAAAGTCGTCTCACCTCTCCTCTCAGTGTGGGACTCCAGCAGCTTTGACGGGAGCCGCTGTGTTTGATGGGCGACGTGGGAACGATTCGTCCATTTGGAATTCGTTCAACCACGACACGCTGACATGAAGCTTTATGTAAGCTGCGGTTGACACAGGAGATGCGTTTAGAGACAACGCATAATTAGTCATTGATTTCTTCTTCATAGATAAAACTGACCCAGATCCAACGAGGATCACTGTGCTCCTTCAGGATCATTTCCAACAACTCCCGTACGTGAAATGAACTCCCCATTCACGGTCTATTGCAGGCTCTCAGTCTTCCCATGAAAACAAGAGCCAGACATTACTAATCGCACACCGAGAACACGGGCCCGAGGCACTCTTAATGACAGAACAATCAAACACTGGACAAATTATTCCTAATTTGGTAGGAAGAGCTAAATAAACACAACTAACAGTAGTGTAACCGAGCTTTAAGGCGAATATAGCCTGTTAATGTAGCATTTCCGCAACTACTTCAATTCATTGAAGGGGAACAGAGTGTGTTCAGTCAGAGGCTTCATCAGGAAGTAATTAACGACCATCAGCAAAAGCAATTATGGTCAATGTTTGTTTGTTTGTTTGTTTAGTTTTTTAATTAAATTTAAACAACTTCTTTTTTGCGATTCTCCCATTTCACAAAACATAATGCATCTTATTGTCTTTGAGCACACACTGGTAGTAACGTAGTAACTTAGTAATAAAATAATAAAAACAGTAAAAAGCGCTTCGGATGTTGTAATGCTTCATCCAGTGGTGTACCTTTAGTTCTTCTCAGTGCTTGCTTTGTGTGAAGTTGAAAGTCCGATTGGATTCTGTTTTGGTTACACTGTATTTGGTGTCGGTCCAGAGTTGTATGAAATCTCACCTCACCCTGAAAGCAATGATTTCCTTTATGTTATCATCTCCTTCATCATTGACCTTTTCAATCAAACAAGTGAAAAATTAAATTACATTCAGTGACCTCACCCACAAGCTTTAATATCTGAAAAATATAAACAGATCTAGAGTTTGTGTACACGCACAGCATGTCTACGAAGCCAAACTGGAAGTCATACGTCACGAGGTGTGGTTCTGTTTTGCCGAAACAGCTATGGACCTCCTGGGTAAAAAAATTTGTCCAAAATTCCAATTTACACCTCCGTATCAATGATCCCATCAAACATATGAAGTCATCTATAATACACACGACAATGCATTCCCATACTATTACAGATCCTGGCTTTTGCACCTTTCTTAGATCACAGCATGGATGGTCTTCCTCATCTTTGGCACATCACAGCCGGCCCCAATTTTTACCAAAAGCAGCTGAACGCTTTCCTTCCGACCACAAACCACATGTCCGCTGTCTGTCTGCGCATCTTCAATGAGTTTGTGTTCAGAGTATTTCAGTGCAGAGTTTATACATGGCCTCCACCCTGTATAAGACGTTGTCAGGTTATATCTCTGGATGCGATGTCGTGGGCTATGTCGGTGTTTCTCCTGAGCACACAGGATTGTATTGGTGGCAGCATAATAGTTTCTCATAAAAGGCAGTCCAACAGTATTTTCTGTGCATGGCTTTAACATCCAAATGTTTTGCTATCAGGATTTTGCAATGAGATATCTTTTCTTCAATATATTAATGATCCTCTGACAGAATTTAGCACAAAGTAATGAGTCACATCCTCTAGCAGACACTCTTTTTCTTTTTTTTAACCTTATTCTGACAACCCTACCAGTCACCATTTAATCGTCTGATTGTAAAATCTTCCAATGGACTATTATATTTATTTATCTGAAGGTTTCTGTATTGTTTTTACAGTACCTTCCTCAAAATAGGTACATGCATTGCTGCATTAAATTCTAGATTTTGTTCTATTTTCTAAATATGATAATGATGAAGTTGGTCAGTGAAGACACAGACAATCCTTTCTGTTGTATATTTTTTTCCTTTTTATCTGGTAAAGGTTGCAAATTATTAACAACTGATGCGACACTGGCGCAAGTTTGTGTTGCATTTATCAAACTGTCCAACTTTACTGGAAAACACATTTGTAGATCACATCTGTATTCAATTTCTATCAGAAAAATGTTCTCTACATTTGTTTGAACACCCAATCTGCTCTTTCTGAAGGTTTTTGCTTACTGTAGGCACTCTGACAGACACAATATTTTAAATGTGAACAGATTACTTGTGGTTTTTAGCTTCCTGGAGATGAGAAGAAAATGTGAGATGACTCATTCCAGACGAGGTGCTGAAGATGAAAATCAGGTGCTGGGGAATAGGGCAGATGAAAAATGATAAGTTAAACAAAATGTTGATCACAGGGAATTCGAAGTCACAGGCAGAATAAATGGTTTGACCTGCGTCATGGCTTCGAAAAAACAATGAGATGGGAGTGGGGGGAAATTTCCATGAAAGCAAGGGATTTGGAGAAAAATGCTCATGAATATGAGACCTTCAAATGTCTATGGACTCATTCTTCCGATTTTGGTGTGCCACACCTGCCATTAATGTGGAATTAATAATCTATAGGAGCTGTTGGAGCACAAAATGTGAGTCCGAGATGTTGAAGTTACGGAAAATAAACCATAATTCAGAAAACTTGGAGAGAATGAGCATCTCGTGACTACGTTAGCGTGTTAAAAGCCTCTAAACCAAACCTCTAAACCAAAGACTCATCTGCTGACATCAGACAGATTAATCCTAACTAGCAAAATAATAGAAAAAATAAATAAATAAATAAATAATGACAATGAACGGAAACCCCAGAGTGTTACAAACCTAAGGCCACCTCGAGGGTTTAGAACCACCTTTAGTAGCAATCATTTGAAGTATTTTTTCTTGTATGACCTTATTAGTCTCCCACATGCAAGCACACAGTCACTCCTGAGGCCAATTTAGATTCAGACCAACTTTAAGAGTCTTATTCAATTAAGATCACGGGGAAAATTGTAATAGATAAAACTAAAAATCTGACAAAAAACAGAAATTAAGTTGGACAAAAAAACTGTGAATTATCTTATTTGATAACATTTAAAAATAACCAGGGTGATCTTGAACCTAATGGAAACAGTCAATGGCAATGAATCACTGTTTTTAGGAACCCTGAATAATCATCAAAATAGCTAAAATTGTTCAGAAAGAAAGCTGGACAGGACTTATTTTTGAGCTGTGCTACTGAATTGTATGTTTTTGTATTTGGAGGAAAGAGCATTACAAAGCCTCTGAATTTTTACCTCATTTTTGTGAAAGAAGCACTGACAAAGTGTTAAATGCTGTATATTACCCATTGTATTTATTTGTATTTACCACATTTTAAATATTGGTATGTCAGATACGAATCATACCACAAATGGGATGACAATTAAGAATTATTGTATTCTTATGTGGGTGATATTGAGGGTTTATAAGCACCAGTTGAATTTTTTTTGACTCACAGCTTTTTTAATTTTTTACTTAAGTGAGCTATATAACTACTGCTTACAATTTGCAAAACAAAAGTCTCCGGACAAAAGTATCAACTTCTCAATTCCAAGGTATTAGAAATGGAGCATGGTTGCAATTTGTGGGCTATGGATCTGGAGTATTTACAAGCTTTCTTATGAGCTGACACTTGTCTCCATAGTACAGAAGAAGAAGAACAGAAAAAGACCACAACACGCTGCATATGTATTTGGTTTTATTGAAGAAGAGAGATATGAATCGGTAGCCTGTTTTAAGGCACCTTAAAATGTACAACAAAAGCTGAACCATTTATTTATTCAGAATACAAAAATACACATCTCAGTGACTCCAAATCGTAATAAATAGTTAACCATGCATTCTAACCATAAAAAGGCACAGAAAACAGTCACTTATAGTAGTCATAAAAATGATCAACTACTTTACCAAAATCATCCAGATAGTAATACAGGTGACAACTGTAACATTATATTCCAAATGTGAAAACACAATACACATCATATCCTTTAACCCTAGGCAATAAATATGCAAATATTTTCTATAGCTACATATATATCTTAGAAATTAAAACTGTGCCATTGTAAACATAATGTAAACAAATAAAACTCACTTTTCTCCCATTAATTTGATAACTATGTCAGAGACAACGTGCTAATCGTCTTTTGGAGATCCTTGAAAGGGTTTTTGTTGGTTTTGAAAACCAGGCAGTTTGCAGCATTATTTACAGACCACTGGAACAGCTCGGGAGAAAGGTGGAAACTTCCACTTTTAACGGAGTGGCTAAGCACTCCCAGGTCTGGCAGACACTTTGGATACACAGAATGGAAATTGGAAGTGTTTAATAATTGAACCTTTACAGTTTGATCTGATCTACTGATGAATAAAAGACGGGGGATTATAGGATTCTCTATATGGCAAAGTTGCACTACAGTGGACCATTATTAAGAATTTTGTTTTAGGGAAACTCATCTTTGGCTGCAGGGGGAAAATTGTAGGATTAAAGATTAAAACTGATCCTTGACTAGAGTTTTTTTCAAACGTATTTGTTAAGTATTAGTAAGCTAATCGAAAATAAACTGAGCTGATTGTCAGCATGAACAGTTTGAGATGAGGTTTGGTTTTCAACACAACTTTAGAATGTGAGTTAGGTTGCCCTCTTCTGGAAAATTGGGAGACAAACCCTGATATTCACAATCTAGATGTGACTCTACCCACTTGGTGGAGAACATGCAAGTTAAAAAGAAAAGAAAGGCTCACAGCCCCGTTAGCTTTTATATCATTGCAGTGTGTTGCTGTCGCCTTTCCGCTTTTCTCTTGGGAGCAAAAAAACGTCACTGGATGCCCTTCCTGCAGCAACCTTCATTTTTATCTGGGCTTGGGCTAAAACAGGACACAGAACACTGCATCATATTTAAGGCTGCATTGCGGGAAACTGGGGGGGGGGGTTCGACATGTGGCCTGGGCCTTTTTGAATTATAACGGCCCCCCCCCGGGCCCCCCCCCCCCCCCCCCCCACCCCCCCCTTCAAAAGCAATATAATCACATGATATTTCATATGTTGTTTTTGAGGAACAAGAGGAAAACCTGCGACCCTGACAAAACAACACCTGAAATAATTCATCGCTTTGTGTGAGAACGTCTTTCAAATGGTGTGTAAAGGCATGGAAATATTCCAAAAATGTAAATGCTTTAGTGACCCAAAAAATGATTCGGGTAGTGTGCAAACCTGAAAAGCGAATGTTTGGCAAAACATTTCATATTTAGGTATCAAACTGTCTGCAATGAAGTAAAAACCAAGTAAAAGCGATAGTAACTCCACTTAATAAAGATTGTTTTTTTTCTTTTCTTTGCATTTTTTTGTCCCATCCAAGATTCTTTCCTTTTTGGAATTGTACTAAAAATATTTTTGTGATAACCTTCTTGTTTTTATTTTTTAATCTAAAGTTTCTTAATAGAAAAAAAAAATACGCTAAAAGAAAAATCGGAAACAGTGGAAAGTCTACGATAAAATCATTCTGCAATGAAAAATATACAATTGCTGATATGATAAGTTACAATCAGTCACTGTTGTAATACATGCAAGTGCACGCAAAGATATTGTGACACATAACTACACAACAGTCTGCCCAATCTACCCATTCTGACTTTGGAAGCACAGAGGAGCAAAACTACAAATGAGTGAACCACTGGAAGAAATTTGGAGTCTGTCAGAAAAACCTGTCTATGGGTCAAAATTTCAAATCCCTCAAACGATGGAGAGGACTTTAAATGTACAAAAAAAAATCTAATAAAACACTCTTTCAACGTAATTTTCCCCACTAAGAGACGTCATATTGGAAAGCTATCAAAACAAGAGATCAAATATTGCACCATCATTAGAATACAACAGCATTATCATGTACAAGAGGTTAGAACAAAAAAAATCAACAATGCACAATTGTTATATACACAATCAAATGTGTGAGCTGTTGACAATGCATGCCATGTCAGCAAACTACAAATGCTTTTTACTACAACACAAACATTGTTTGCATACACTTGTATACTGTATATACAGTGCATATATATGTACATACCTAGCATCACATATAGAAATATACCCTGTAATGCCACCAGTCTTAGAAGAAACTAACAGGTAAAAGTGTTCTATTAACATGTAAATTGGAGAAGAAAAGCTGCACTTGAACAACGCGATGCAGGGTGCAGATCAACTGCACCGGTACATATTCAAATTCTGATTTCTAACCGCTATTTGCATTAGTGTTAAATACTGTGTTAAATTGCCAAAAAGGTACAAAGTTGAGGTGAACTGTTAATTCTACGTCATGATATGAGGATTTGCACTTGCATGGAGCAAGACATGAAAAGTGCCTTTTAAGTATTCCTTAAAAAAATCTCAACAAGCCTACGATAAATGAGGTTGGCACGTGACCAACATTTTTACTTTCTCCCTGGGTACAACTAATCTTTTCCCCACCTTAACTGGAAGTAAGACCTAGGACCTTACTGGTCGATTACATAAAAGATGATCGTGTTTTTGTAGACATTCACTTTGGTACTGATTTCACATCAACAGAGAACGTGTCAACTTACGGATAGAAATTCCAAATATTCATACCGCTCCTTGTGATGTCTATTGATAAAGCACACTTTACACAAAAAATAACTGAAAATATGGCATTTGACAGAAATCTTTGACACATTATTATAATGCAAATAAAATAAATTAAATCTAAGAAGAAAAAGGAAAAAAAAAAAACATTGGTTTAGACCAAAAAAAAAAGGATGCTTTCAGTAGTAACAAATGGCATCATTATACTTCGTAAGTCATGAAAAACTTGTTCAAGTGTTATTTCGCACACGAAAAATCAAGACACTAATCATGCAATTAAAGATACCTAAAGTTGAGCAAGCATAGCATGCGACAACATCCCACAACCACCACACTGACACCTATGGTAGATGGTGATGTCTGTCCTCTTTCTCTACAGAAACCAAAGGCTGCCTCAGTGCTTTAAAGCATCTGCGGCTCTCGCTACCGAACGGAACTGAAACCAAACAATCATGGAAGTCTTAGTTTTGCTACTGATCTGTTTTTCACGAGTAGTCATCAGAATGGTAAGTTGCATACCTGATTGTGTGCTATGAGTGGTTATCGACTTAGAAATGGCTTCGTTATTGTCGCGGCAAGGTTTTGTGACTTCCTTCGAAACAAATAGGCCCCCCCTGTTCCTCGACCGTCATTTTGGCACCAAAACACAAACGCATCTTGTTCAAGACAACATCACTCCATGCAGAGGGGGTAAAAATCCAGCTGAACGCCCCGCCTCCATCCCGACTACCTTGGGTACGCTCGAACGCTGACCACTCGTGCTCAGAGAGTGTTTGCTTCCCCTCTTCAGTAGCTTCTGCTCCCCGGTTACAGGTCAACCATAGAGGCCTTGGCCAGGTCCTTAGTTCCCTGGAGAATTCTCTTCATATGACCCACTTTCGATATCCCCAGATCCTGTGGAACAACAGGGAGATCGACACGTTGAGCACACATTGAATTCGAGATGTTCATTTGTATTTTAGGTGTTCCCTAAAAGGCGTCCTTGGTCAAGAAAAAATTCTATGTTATAAACTTACTCATCAGCTCACAAATGACTTTAAAAGGGGAAAAAAAAGGAATTTAAAAGAGCAAGCCAAATACTTTCATGGAATTGAATACATTGAATAAACTTAGAATGTCATATTAAAACATTTCCAGGACTGTATTTGCTGGGTTTTTTTATTTTATTATTATTATTATAATGTAGGAAGTCCAAAAGAATTGTACACGGATCAGTGATATGGTCATTTTTGTAGTGTTTGCTCATAAGATAATTGACCTCACATGTACATATTTAATTTCATTCTTCTAATCTGTAATGTAAGGTCATTGTAGGCGTATCCATCCCTTATCGGCATGTGGATATCTGAGGTCGAGTCACAAAAGCAGCCGTTCCAGAAGGGAAGACCAGACATACCTCTTCTCACCAACACTTTCCAGCTCATCCTGGGAAATTCCAAAGGTGTTCCCAGGAACAGATTGAATAAAAAACCACCCCTTCTCCCTCTACAGTTGCTCATGGAATTGAAATACCTCAAAGAGGACTTTAAATCTTTTAGTCCCACAGACGTAAAGAAACACTTTGCAAGTTTGACATTCTGGCAAAAATGTCCCAAAATAAGTTTAAAACGCTGGTTAACTTTTTGTCAGGAAAGAAAATAATCCATGAATGTTGTGTTGTTCAGAGGCTACAGTGGCTATATTTTAAACACCCTTTTCATTTTGAACCCAAGAATATTTTTGCAGGTATTTCAGAGTCTCAGTTAGTTTTATTGACATCAAAATAAACACAAGTGCATTGGAGTTTATTCTCCATGTAAGTTATTTCATCTGCAGGTTGAATCGTGATGCGCCTGTGACTCCACACACTGTTGGAAAGTGCTTTTTTTTCTCCTCTTCTTGCTTAGGCTGGACAGGTCGACTTTGGCTCGGTAATTATTACCGCACAGCGTTGGAATACAATTGTGGGAAGCTCTCACATCGTAAAAAGCAGAGCGAATATAACTGTAAAGTGGCAAAAAAATGCTGAGCTGATTTGACAAATCGAAAAAAAGTTGGACAAATCACACGCAGCCAACTGGCTGAAAACATAATGCGAAATCAATCCCTGGTCGAGTATATCAGTCCAAGATGACTCATTGGTGGAGGGCTTATGTTCTCTTCACACTTCAATATAAACCTTACAGATTGTTCTGTCTTTTTTTATTTCCTAAATCTTTAACTGAAGTATAAGAACTTTCTTCAAGCTGAAGTTCAAATTAAAGAACATTTTACAGAGGAAAATAAAGATGATTTTTATAAAAGGAATCCTTCATTTTAACCAACTAGATTTATGATCGTGTGAAACTTATCAGAAATCCAGATGACATCATCTTTTTATCGTGAATATTGTAAATAGGGCGTTCACAGTGATACTGTGGTAGAATAATACAAACAACAGTTTTTCACCAAGGTATCTGGAAAGCACGTCTAACAGGCCACATAGTAGTTTTTTGTCTGGAGAAGGACTTTGTTTTGATGTACTGTGAGGACCGTGTAGGTCTGCTTCTCCCTTTAGAAGCACCCATGCTTTTCTCATGGGTGAAACATATGATGCTGACAACTTCAGAGGAAATTAAACGAAATCCTGGGGAGGATTCATCCCTCCATCAGACCTGTTGCCACCAATTTTCACTCCACTTCCTGTGTCATTTGTCATAGCTCAGCCTTTTCACAGTTTCCTTGACGACCACTCCTCCATAAAGACTATTTCTGTTGAGACTTTAGTGGACAGTAGAGGTACGGCGTAAAGCCTTTGCTCTATTTTCTTTCTGTCCTCTTTTTCAGTGACATCACTTTATAAATAGTGTTCGTCTGTTCTGGATATTTTTACAGAGATTATACTGTACACGATCCTGAGTTGTCAGCTAATATTTCTTTGTGAATAACAATGTTGGAACAAAAAAATGTCCGTTAAACTGTGTCATCACTGAATATTAGACTATCTGACAACTGACTATCTTGCAGAGGAAATGGGAACAAATGACTATGACAAGATACATTTAGTCTTTGCTAAGTGGCAAAGCTAGTTCATCCCTTGAGCTAAGTGCCTTTTTATGCTTGGATAATACTTCGGTCAGTGTGAATTTGCTTCATAAACAAACCAAACTAAACAAAAAATATCCTGCTGTAAATGCTCAGGTGCAAAGAGTGGATTGAAAATGAGTGGAAAAAGACAAATGACTTTGATAAAAGTCTGGACATCCCCTCCTCTAAACCGCTTTAAATAAGTACAAAGATTCTTCTTGCAAAGAACCTACCAAGAAATTCGGGGTAGGTCAAGACAATTGCACAATACTTTTAAAAGATCTCATCCATTCTGAGCCAATAAAAACCCTGAAAGTAAACAAGTGCTTAACTGAACTCTACAACCAGCCAAAATCGGCTTAGCTCTACCAATTTGGCTCCCTCCCTGTCCTGTGGTTGGCTTCCCTTCTCGTGAGCAGATACACAGTGTTAGTGGGTTACAGCGAGTCCCTTTTCACCAAGCAACCATCAAGACGGTAAAAGCCAAGCAGAGCGATGCAGCGCAGCACGGAAAAAAACGGAGGGAGGACACCTGACGGGTCACGGGGGGGGGGGGGGGGG